TCAGACCCCCGCGGAAGAGCAAGAAGGCGTCGGGGCTGAGGATCAACGACTACGACAACCAGTGCGACGTGGTCTACATCAGTCAGCCCATCACCGAGTGCCATTTCGAGAGCCAGCGGTCAGTGTCGTCCCGCAAGACGGCGAGGAAGAGCACGCGGGGGTACTACTTCAACGGGGAGTGCTGCGAGCTCCCGACTGTCCGCACGCTGGTTAAGAGCTCCCGGGCGGAGGAGAGGGGGAGCAGCCCGGCACTGCGAACAGAGACCCTCGTAAGCGCTAAGCCGCCCCTGGTGCTCTCGGTAGGGGGGTCTGTGGGGGCAGGACGGGAAGGTGAGAAGAGGGTTTCCCTGAGGCTCCTGGCTAAAGGGGCACCAACCAGCCGAGAAATGAAAGAGAGAGCTGAGCCGGGCTCCGTGCAGCCCCGAGATACCCGGGCGCTGCGGTCAAGGGAAGCTGCCATGGCCGTGCCCTTCTTCTCCCTCTCTGCTCCACCCAGCCCCCAGAAAGAGGACAGCTTGGCTGGCTCGCCACCCCCCCTCTCCCCTCCTGCCGAAGGAGGGGGGGCAAGAGCGGGAGGCACCATCCCCTGGGAGGCTGGCAGCAGCCTGGGCTCCTCCAGGGACAGCAGCAGCAGCGGGCAGGCTGCCGATTTTAAAAAAAAAATTTTGCTGCCCTTCCCGCCTCAGAAGCACCCGGCGGGGAGAAAAGTTGCCCAGGCTCTGACATACAAACTGATCCGGACCTCCCCACCAGCCCGGAGCCAAAGTCCCCCTTGCAGCCCTCCACTGCTGTGGACACAGCACCCCTGGCCCATGATGATGCCAGGGATCCTGCCCAGCTTCCAGGTGCAGGAGACGCGGAGCCCTGTGAGCTGCGTCTGGCAGAGCCCTACCCACGCTCTCCAGGCTGGCAGGCTCCCGATGAGCCCCCTGCCACCGTGGATGGGGCGAGCACCCCAGAGCCCCCTGCCACCTTGCAGTGTGTGGATGTGAACAAAGGCGTCGATGCTGAACCAGAAGCCGAATCATCGTGCACGGTGGGTGACGGCTCCCTTGAGCAAGAGGAGGCTGTGCCGGCCAGCACAGCCCTCCCTGAAGTCTCGGAAGGGGAGGCAGTGCTGAATAACAGCCCGGCAGGTGAAAAAGAGCCCACTGAAGGGGAAATGCCGCCTGAACCTGACGGCTCAGACGCTGCAGGGAAAGACTCTGTCTCTTCCAAAGACAGTCTAGACAAGAAGCGAAAGAAAGGCAGGAGAGTGCTTGTGGCATCGGACCGGTGTCTCCGAAGCCAGCAATCCCAGTCACCCGCTGAGGGCAGTGCTGAGGATGCTGGTTCTTCCAGCTCTGTGCAGCTTCCTTGCCTTCAGATCAAACTCTCCAAGAGCCCTGGCGCTAAGCGATTCAAAAGAGAAGTGCACCTGGATGGGGCAGCATCCATGCACTTCCCAAATGACTGCTTCCCCAACACGCTGCTCAAAACCACCGAGGGGCCAGGCACCGGCCAGGCTCCAGAGAGCATCGCTGAGCAGCGGCCGGGCGAGGAGAATGGTGTCACTACCAGACAAACCTATAAAAGCATCTTAGCGAAAGAGACTGAGGCAGAGGGAGAAAATTCCTCTAAAGACGACCCCCCGGCTAACGGCTGCCAAAGTCAACCAGGTGAGACGCTGGAAATCAGCGTCCAGGCTGATTCTGAGAAGCAAAGCATTCTCCTCCCTCCGGAGAGCAGCATGCCTGCAAATGATGCCGAGCAAGTGGATGTGAAACCAGGCCATGCCAGCGCAAAGGATGAGGAGAGCTCCGACAGTGCCATGGACACGGGCAAGCTGGAGAGCTACGAGCCGATGGCCAATTCACCTCCGTGTCCCAGCAGCAGAGGTGGAAGCAAGCATCTTCCAGCAAAGGCTGCAAAGCATAAAAAGGTCGCCCTGCAGTTTTATAACTTAAGACATGCACCCGCACCCGTAGACACCGCAAAAAGGAGCACACCAGGGAAGGAGTCTATGCAAGCGATCCTCAAACTGAGGGACGAATGCAGTTCAGGGAATGACGACTCCCTGGCGTTGGAGGACATAGACATGGCTGACAGCAAACCAAAGTTCATGGAGTGGTGTGCTGAAGAGGAGAACCAGGAACTCATTGCCGAGTTCAACGCCCAGTACATGAAAGTTCAGAAGGGCTGGATTCAGCTGGAGAAGGAGGTGCAGCCAACCCCCAAGGTAAAGAACAAAGCCGACAAACTGAAAGAGATTTGGAAAAGCAAGAAAAGGACACGGAAAAGTAGAGGCTCGCTGGAAGTGCAGAAGCTTTCTCCTGTCCAGATGCTGTTTATGAAGGCCTTTAAGCTGTCCGACATCTGCCAGTGGTTTTTGGAGACGACTGAAACCAGGTCTCTAGTGATCGTGAAGAAACTCAACACCCGTCTCCCAGGGGAGATCCCCCCCATCAAAGTCCCCATGCAGAAATATTCCTCTTCCAGTCTCTACCCCAGCTCCCTGCAAGCCGAACGTTTGAAAAAACACCTCAAGAAGTTCGCCGCCACTACCCCAGCTCGGAATAACCTGAAGAACCAAAAGCTTTGGGCCAAAATTCGGGAGAACGCTGATAAAGCAGAGGCTGAAGAAGCCACCGCTCCCAGCCAGACGTCTCCCACCAACGCCGGCGCCGAGGACCTGAGTGAAGACAAAACCACCCAGCCTGCCCCCAGCTTGCCCACGCAGGCCAGCACCAGGATCCTGCGCAAGTACTCCAACCTGCGGGGCAAGCTGCGAGCCCAGCACCGCGTGGTGAAGGCAGAGAAGAAGAGTGACAGCCTGGGGGACCACCCATCCCTGGAGAGCAAGCAGAGCCGGAAAAGCGTGTGCATCAATCCACTGATGTCTCCAAAGTTGGCCTTGCAGATCAAAGCAGACGCCTTTCCTGCTAAATCTCCATCAGTGGACGGGGCGGGGAAGGGGCGGAAGGGGAAGAGCAGGTTGCAGGAGGA